CCAGGGATCAATTTACAATAAATTTATATAGCAAACTGGATCCCTATTAACTTTTATAAAATTTATATATATATATATATATATATATATATATATATATATATATATATATTCTGGGGAATCGAAGAATACATTAAAGAGGTCAACAAACAGCTAGCTGACAAAGAAACCTATAAAAGCATACCTACAGATCCCCTTCCAGAATAAACATAATGCTTCGCAACAATCTGATCGACAAGGAAACACACACAGCACTTACACCCACAAACATTACACCTGCTCATTTCTATCTCCTTCCCAAAATACACAAAAGCAACAACCCAGGAAGGCCGGTTATTTCATCGTTCAACTGCCACACGACAAAAATTTCCAAATACATAGACCATTATTACATACAATTGCTAGCTAAGGAAGTAAAATCCTACATCAGAGACACAACAGATCTACTGAACAAAATTAATCACATACAAACAGTACCAGAGAAAGCTATTCTAGTGACTATGGACGTTAGGTCACTCTATTCAAACATTAAAAACATCGAAGGGCTGGCCGCCCTTCAGGAAGCACTTACTAAAAGAAGAAAACAGGACCCCCCCCTCCAGAAGTCATCATAAAACTCATGGAGCATGTCCTTACATTGAATACTTTCAACTTCAATGGAGCACACTGCCTTCAAATAAGAGGTTGTGCCATGGGCACCATTGCAGCTCCATCATATGCTACAATATTCATGGGAAAATTTGAGGAGACCCATATCTATCCAATCATTTGTAGCGACTGCGTATTCTATGCAAGATATATCGATGATATATTCTTTGTATACACGGGTAGTGATGACAAACTTACCCAATTCCTTATGACCCTAAACACAGTGCACAACTCAATTAAGTTTGACTATGAAAAATCCACAACATCAGTAACATTTTTAGACACCCACATTTACATAGATGAAAACAGAAAACTACAAACGACACTACACACTAAAATAACCGACACCCACAACTATCTACACTTTAAGTCTTCCTACCCTAAACACCTCAAAGAGAACCTTCCCTATTCACAAGCACTTAGACTCAGAAAGATATGTTCCAACAATGAAGAATTAAATAAACACATTGAAAATCTGGAGCATCAATTCACAACACGTGGCTATAAACAACACCTAATCAGAGAACAAATAAATAAAGCAATTTCCACACCTAGAGAAGACACCCTAATGTACAAGATTAAAAATAAATCTAGCCGCATCCCTCTAGTAACCACTTTCAATCCCACTCTGCCTCCACTATCCCAAATAATCAAACGTCGCTGGGAAATACTACATCCCAAACCAGACCTAAAAAAACTGTTTAAGGAACCCGGCCTTCTTGCATATCGTAGACCTAAGAACCTAAAAGAAATCATAGGTAGTAACCACATTTCAGGGGACAAGGTAATCCGTAATGAACTAAGAACAAAAACAACAGGATTTTCCCAACCATGTAACAACAAAAGAAATTTATGTTGCAACCATATTAAAAACACAAATTCATTCACTAGCTCAATCACTAAATCTACTTTCAAAATCTACCACGATTCTAACTGTAGAAGTGATAACATAATTTACCTCCTAGAATGCACACTATGCAAGAAACAATATGTAGGAAAATCTGAATGGCCCTTTCACTACAGAATTAATAATTATCGAAGTTTAATTAAGTTGACTCCCATGAAAAATTATTACCTGTAGAACAACATTTCCGCCTGGAAAAAAACATGATTTCAAAACCCATGCCAAATTCACTATAATTGAGAGAATAGAAAAGTTCAGAGCAGATAACATTAGAAAGATTTTAGAGTCCCATGAAAATAAGTGGATACAACGTCTAAAAACAAAATACCCAGCCGGGCTAAATCATAAATTTAACAATATATAGATAGTAACAATATATAAGTCAACAAATCAAAATGTACCAACATTTCTCACCCACACAAGACAGACATGTGTGGAGGCCTCACACTTATACACTCACCCACACGAATATACACACTTACACACATCATACTCACTCACTCCCTAATGGGCCAAATGATAACACACACCTACAGCAATACACACGCTTACACATATCATACTCACTCACTCCCTAAGAACCAAATAACACACACACAAACACTAAACAGAGGCACATCCCCTCACCAGGTCCAATAAAACTGTCAAACTGACCAGAGAATTGAGAGTAACATGTATCTATCCAGCTCTTATCTCAAATAACAACTTAAGAGACTGTTTGACCAACACAAGGAATGTTAAAAGATTCATGTTAAAAAGATAAAAAAATAAAATAAAAAAATAAAAAAACAAATGAAAACTACAGACAAAAGTTCATTTTCTCCAGCAAAAGATATTCATTTCTGTAGTTTAGTGCTACCAGCAAGCAGAAATATTTCTCCTCCCGATGATGGCCATTTCGGTCGAAACTAGTTGAGGAATCTAAATGGAATAATAATAAAAAAACGAAAGAATATTAATCTACAACAAAGTGTGTCTGAAATTTTAATTTTTTATTTTTTATTTTCAATATATATATTATATATATATATATATATATATATATATATATATATATATATATATATATAAAATCCAATAAAAAAAAAATGTATACACACTTCAGGAAAGGAAAGACTTGTCTTTCATAGTTTTATGAAATTGTGATAACACTGCCATACATGAACTTTATGGAAATGCTGACTTTTTCTTTCAACAAGACAATGCACCTCCGCACTACCAGCAAAACGTGCAAACTTATCGGAATGAGAATTTGCAAGAGCACTGGCTAGGACAAAGAGGTGTAATTGAGTTTCCCCCACATCCTCCTGATTTAACACCTGCAGCCTTTTACCTATGGGGGAACCCTAAAGTATGTTGCATATTGCAGAAAATTGACCACATTAGGAGACCTGTGACAAGAAATTGAAAATGCATGTGTAGCAATGTGACTGGGCACTGGCCAACGTTGCCCAAGCAGCCTATCTCAAGCTACCATCTCTTGTGATTGTAGAGTCCAAAGGTAACTTATAGTAATCTCATGATGTCTGAATAAATTTAGTATTACAATATGTATGCAAGTTTTTACTTTCCTGAATTGTGTATACATTTTTTTTTTTGATGAACTATATATATGACCTGAAGTGCTTACTCTATAGTAACATGAAAAAAAAATATTATTTCTGTTCACAGTGCTTATTGTACAATTTCACCAAGATCAGTTAAAAAAATGAGTATCAAATTTACATATAAGCAACTTTTTTCTATTCTTTTTTTTTTTTTTTTCAAATTATGGACCTTTATTGAGCTGTCAGTTTCTAAAAATAAGAACAATTTGGAAGTCTTTATTCTAATACAAAATTGCAATATTTCAGCACATATTTTTCTATCATAATTCTTTGAATAATTTTAAGTATCTTTATTTTCACTCATCAAATAGCAATAAATTTACATTAGCTTCATTCTTGGTTTTATTTTCTCTTTCATATTTTTCTTCCTTGATAATTGTTATATTCTTTGCTAATAGGGATATATACTTGAAAAACATGGATAAAATAAGTAAAGGTTTATTGTAAAACACCAATGCAATAAGAATTACGGTAATAGTTATGCACAAAGTCGTCGCAAGTCAATCCAAGAGTGAGTGCTACTATTGGAAGGTTGGTAGTTCTTGCATAAGTCTGAGTCATACTCAACAGATCCCAGCTAGACTCTGTAGTCCATTGACTTACAGATACTTATAGGTAGTTACTACCTATAGTGTAGTCACTCATGGGGATGACAGGTTATTCCATTACATCACCTCCGCCCGAGCTGAAATTTTCCAGTAGAAAATTTAGCTTTCTAATACTATCTCTTTTTTGGTTCTGGACTTAACCACACTGTGGGTTTTCTTTTCCTCATACTCTTTTGAAACAAATAACATCTCAAGCATACGGGCAAAGCTGGTGTAGATGTATCCATGCATTCTGATTTGTTAGTGGGTGGTGTTATTTCAAACGTGTCGTACAGGACATCCATCGGAGTTCCTTCATCATCCTGTTGAACGATTTCAGAGTATCTTGGTCTTAACTGGTTTACGTGCCTTTTGCATACACATCTTTTTCCTTTAACCATATAGATTACTCTTCTAATTCTATTTGAAATAATTCCATCCTCCCAAAAACATTTTCCACTTCGGTAGTTCCTGAAGAAAACTTTGTCACCAGGCGTATTCTTTGCACAGAAATTCTCTTTGTTAAGCATTTTCTTTTTTTTTGGACAAGGCAACAATCTGTCACATATTGATCCTTCTTTCTCACAAACATCAATTCAGCAATAATTAACTTCTCGATTCTCTCCACACACACACACACACACACACACACACACTTTATAAACTTTATATTTTAATTGTTTTTAAAGTCTGATTTGGCCTTCATGGTCTTGACAGTTTCTTTGATGCCATTTTTTTAAGGACTCACCAAAAATTAAGCTACTTCTAATATTGACAACCAGTTTGACTTTTTCTAACTAGAATGACTGGAATTCTGCAATACTGAATGGTTAGTAAATGAATCAAAATATCTACAAGAAATAATGCCAATTCCACCACTAGAATTTTTAATGATCACCATAATGATGTTTTTGCCTATATGCCATATCCTCATACCAACTAATGAAAAATGTCTTTTCTGTTGTGTGATGCTAGAATTTTATTACATTAGAATCAGTTTAAAATTCTCTTTTGTTTTGTCATAGGGTTGACATTACCAAATCTTAATAACTCTGTCTTCATCAAACGTATCTGCAGAGTTGTTGAATTTTTGCATTCATACAAAAGTCAACTCTAATAATCTCCTGTGATTGATTTTGTAATGGCAAAGACCATAATAAAAAGAAATATTGTTTAATCAGCATTTACTTGACCATGTTGTTATGAGAGAAATGTTCAAGTATATAACCTTGCATTGTTCTTAATCTTTTCCAGGAATATAGTACAGCATTGAAGGTTAAACCCTCCCAGCGACGGTGGAACCCAGGTTTCCAGCCTGATATTGTATGCCTACTAGCATGGATTGATAATGAGCATCCTGGCAATGTGACTAGTATATGTATTAACTCTTCCTATGGCTTGTAAGTAAAAAAAGCTCTGTTTCATGCGTGCACACACACACACACACACACACACATACACAGATGCACTTGTTTAGAAGGCTCTCTCCTCATATATATATATATATATATATATATATATATATATATTAAGACATTTTTTATGTTTATACATTCTTTTTATAGATACAAATATTTAAGTAAATGCTTTGTTTTTAAAATAAACAGTATTAATAACATTTACCAGCCTGAATGTCTGAGAAATCTTCATAGAAAATATTCATTCTCTGACAGGAATCGAACCTGTATCCTATACGGAACCGTCATTTAGCCTGACGTGCTTTAAGCCATGGAGCCACGGAGAATCGTTTGATTAGAAAGGTCAATTTTACTGTTTTTATATATATATATATATATATATATGATAAACTGGAAAATTTACCAGTTTGTCATATTTTTTAAAAATTGTTGATATATAAAATTATACAAAATTTTATATATATATATATATATTTTCTAAATATTGTTAATATATAAAATTTTGTATAATTTTATATATCAACAATATTTAGAAAATATATATATATATATATATATATATATATATATATATAATATAATATAATTTTGTATAATTTTATATATCAACAATATTTAGAAAAGTATGACAAACTGAAAAATTTTCCAGTTTGTATATATATATATATATATATATATATATATATATATGAGGGAGAGAGCCTTATAGAGAGAGAGAGGGAAAGAGAGATTGATAATTGCTAGTCATGGTTATATATGAAGATTAGTGAAAAGTTTTCAGTCAAATTCACTTTCTAAAATTTCCAAAATGACAAAGTTTTTTTTTTCTTTTCTTTTTTAATTTTTTATTGGACTTTTTGTTCAAACTAAGTACTTTTCAGTATCTATCATTACATGTGTAAAGATAATTACAGTCTATAATCATCTGAAACTTACAGTCATATTATGTTGGTTTTGTTCTATTCAATTGTACCACTTAACCATTATTATCTCAAAAAAAATTTTTTCTTACAATCTAAAAAAATATTTTCTGGCTTTAAATAGCCTGCAAAGAGTTGATACATTGTAGAAAATGAATAAATCAATCATAAGCATCTGAATAATTTTGTCTTGTTCACAGTGAAAATTCTCAAGACATTTCACTGAATTGTTCAAATACTGAAATGATAGAATTTTATTTTACTTTCTTTTTAGATACACTTCAGAGATACTGAACTATGCACAACTGATGATATTCTTGAATATTTTTTGTTTTAAAAGCCATTTTATGCAATATTATTTTTCATTAAATAAATGTTAGTTTTCCTCACATCAATACAGTGAATAAGGTAAATGTTCTTCTGTATAAATAAATCTTATTTAAACTGTTTCCTGTTTTTTTTTTATTTTGTTCATTGTTTTACTCTTATAGGATGGCATTTGGCAATGAATCTGGTTTAGCTGTTGTTGACCTGGTCCAAAAAATATGTTTACTCAACATTGGGACACCAGATTTGTATGGTGAGTTTCAATAATGCTCTCTTTTTATTGCTAATATCTAAGTTTAATGTTGTTTGGTACAAGGCTATGAGAATCTAACTGATTACTTGGTAGTAATGATCTGTGATTCCAGTTTGCCAACCATTACTCCTTTCAAGATGGATTTGTGTTTTCTTTTATAAATTTATTACAAACCATTTATGACCTTCTGGAAATATTGTTTACATTATTTAGGTTTATTTTAAAAAATATATTTAAATATTTTTTCTAAAATAATTTGAATACAGTGAAATAAAATATTCAATGACATTTTAAAAAATAATTTTATTTCCCAAAAAATGAAGTTGTCATTATATTATCTGAATTGTTTTCTGTTGCTCCCAATAGCATGGCCATTATGATCAAAAGGTTTGTAGAGCTGAAAAAATATATGGGAAGTGGGGGGTGAGGAATCAATCTAACACTTGGTCATCCAATTTCTTCAATATTCTTTTATGTTCAAAACTGTTAACGGTAAGATAGAATATGTGATGCTATTAATCCTGACCTGGTATCTCGGCTTCAATCTCTTTTCCATTGCTGTCACTTAACTTCCTTGTGCCTTTTCTATAAATATTTTGATGGCAATTGTTCTGAAGTGCTTTCATATTAGGTATTTAAATATTTTATAAAGACAAATTGTAAATATGGGAACTAGTAAAGACTACATAGACTTTGAAGTATTATGGTGGCTGTAGTAAGAACAGTAAGTAAGAATGTGTTTTGGTGTAATGAATGCTGTAGTATGTTTGGGTCAGTTATTTTGGTTAGCTTAGTTAACAGATTGAAGACCAGCCTTTCCCTATCTCCTCTTTTGGCCTTGTGCCACATTTTTGTATGTTCAAAATAATATTGCTTTCATATTTGGTACCTTGTCTTCATGAATTTAAGTATAGTACTTGATTGGCAGCTAGGTTTCTTTACTGATGAAATTGATAAATGTAACCATAAGTTCTATATTAACGGTTTCTTCCCTCACACACTTCTCACTTTTGGAATTTTATTCTGGTTTCTTGCATTCCTGTCACCTTTGATCTTCAAAAATTTAAAGATTATGTCAATAATTGTCATCTGCAATAATACTTTTCTCAGATTCTTTCACTCTTGGTAACCTCTTGCCTCTTAGTGGCTTTATTGCCTTGCATGAGAGTGAAATGATTAAAAAAAAAAGAAAAGTATATTTAAGCAGCAATCCTTCATTCAAACATGATGCATAAAATAGCAAGAGAATGTCTGTCAAACCTTTTGATGAGTTTCTTCTGGTTTTCAATTAGTCAAGGAGTTGATTTATTTCAGGTAGAAACTTGTAAAGGAGCTTACCAAAATTATATACTTGCCAAGAGACAGGATGTTAAATTCTATTTCATAGTCATAATATATGAACCCCTTGCATATTAGTGGCTCTGTCACTTTGTTTTGGGGTGAAATGATTAAAAAAAAAAAACCTAATTAAAGATTTTAGGTAGCTGAAAGATTTGATTGATTTTTTTTTTTAGGTGGCTGAAAGATTTGATTGATTTTTTTTTTAGGTGGCTGAAAGATTTGATTGATTTTTTTTTAGGTGGCTGAAAGATTTGATTGATTTTTTTTTTAGGTGGCTGAAAGATTTGATTGATTTTTTTTTAGGTGGCTGAAAGATTTGATTTTAAATGATTTTGATTTAATAAATTTTAAATGATTTTGATTAAATAAATTGATTTTAGGTGGCTGAAAGATTTAATTTCAGCTTCCTAACTTTTCTTTAACTTAACAGAACCTACAAAATCTAAATGTATTTTATTGGCATAATGACATTTAAACAACATATTTATCAAATGTATCAATGTATATTCACAATTTATAGATTGTAAACTACAACTCAACACTTTGGACATAAAAACTCAGATAGTCTGCACATTGAGAGCACTGCTCTCTGACTGAGAAGAAGCTGGTGTTCTGTAGCTCTTTCACAGTCCCAGACCTACACTGACTATTGGCTAATACCTGCCCAGTATTGTTCATATGCAAATTTTGTCAGCGCTATCTATTATAAGTAGAATGTCCTCTCTCAAAATCCAATTGTGGAAGAAGACTTAACTCCTGGTGCCTACTGCATCACATGCAACCAATTCTGGTTCTCTTGTTATGTTAGCCCAATTCTCTATTACATAGATGAAGCTATAATTCACATATATGAAGACTGAATTACTTAACAAAACTACCAGCCTCTGTACAACATAAGTAGTGGCAATATCAACAATATAAGAGTGTGTGTTTGTATGTGTGTGTTTGTTTTTGCTACTGCTACATTACCATAAAAAATTTTAAAAAATACCTGCATTAATTTCAGCCCAGTTTATTTATTTACATATTTGCATTTTCTCAAGTTAAGGAATTTTAAGATTTGACCATAGTTGGGATCATCAAGTCAATGTGAATGATTCTTTCCTTAGCTGCATAGTATGTGCTTTGCCAGGGCTACATACAGTTTTGAAATCTGAAATTTCCTTCTCCTAGACCAGTTGCCACCCAAAGCTATAGAACCTAGTCTGTCCTGCTAATTACCCATAGCTGGAGAGAATAATTTTAATACTACCAAATTTTTGCTAGATGTGGAACAATCACAAATCTGCTTCTTTAAAAATTAAGAAATACTAGCTGAAAATTAGTATGAGCTTTGCCCAGCCAATCTGTTCAATGTTTGATACCTATGGTTGACCATGAATGGATCACTTTGATCCAAGCCTTGCCTTGTCCCACGTTGTGTTTGATTTAGATGACAATGCTGGCAATGATCAAATTGTTGACAGGAATTGTTGAATTGGTTTGGTCTGGACAGAGTGAAGTCATAAGTAAATAATAAATTGTATAAAAGAAAATGTTATTTTATAAGTTTTCTTGTACAGAGCTGGTAGTGCAATTATCAGTTCTTCAGGCAGGAATATATACTTTTCATGCAGAAATATATTTGTCATGCAGAGTTATCAACCCTTCCCTCTTCAAATATTTTGTGACACTTTGTCATGAAGTAGACTTTAGAAGGAATGGGAAACTCAATCCTAAACAGGAAACAAGGGAGAGGAAATTTTTATGGGACACTATCTCAGGTCCTAAAGTAAAATATTTTTTGCCTTTTATGTTTTACCAAATTCTATTGAGTCTTTTCTGTCCATTTTAGCAAATTTGGAATGAATTTGAAGACTAAATTAAAAAGAATCCAAGTTATCATCATAAACTGCACTTTGTATTTATTCGAGACTTTTTTGTCAAGAATAATATTTCAGTCAATAAAGAAATTATTAACTGCTCTTTGTAATTGTTTAATTTGCATATTTAATTTGTTAACTTACTTTTATCTAGGATCAATGGATCCATACCAAAGAGCTCCTCGATCACCCCGAGGTAAGCGCCCACAACCACTGGATGGTAGCACTACGGGACCTATCTTCACAGATGAATGCAAATCTCCTACCAGTGATCAAGTAATTGCTTTTTTTTATGTTTTTCTTTCTAACTTTATAATTTATTCCTGCTCTATACTTAATGGCTTAAACTATTTAAAAATTATAATGAAAGTTAATTCTAAATTTCCTTTAAAAGTTTGCAATGATTTTTAAAGAGTATCACTATGTTCAATTTAGTGTTTTTAACAATGCTTTTGTAAGTGTCCAGTCAGGTTTATAACTAAGTTTTTAATCTTTTGTGATTCTCTCCAGATTTTAATAAAGAAATAAAAAAAAATAGACATAGATTATCTTGTCAGTAATACATACACATAACTTATGTTTATCTACAAGTTTCATTGATATATATTTCCATACTTCTATGTTTGGTTTTCTTTAATAATAATAATTTTAATAAAATTTAGGACAACAATGAATTATATTCAAATAAACAGTGAGTTAAGAAGCTAAATTATATCCATATGGAGTTCTGTATATTTATGTATGCTTACCCATTCTTTATGCAACACTGGTTCCCATACAATCACCAAAGTTAAGAAACATTGAGCCTTGTTAGGTGACCTGGATGGGTGTCTGCTTGGAAATACCAGGCGCTGTAAGCTTGGAGGTGCAGGTGGTGAAATGGACAATGGCTTGGAATTATTAATCAGAGAGCCATGTTCCAATTCCAGTTGTGTTCTTTATATTCACTTACATGGAAATATCCTTGGGAAATGCATGAATCTACCTCTTTTTTTTCCCCCAACTATGGGTTAATTAGTCAGACGTGTATCACTAAAACCATTATTATCTCCCCCCCACGCACCCCAAAATTTTTACAATCTAAAAATATTTTCTGGTTTTAAATAACCTTAAAATAAAATTGCATACAAAATATTTAGATTTCAGCATTAAATAACCCATAGAGGTGTTGATATGCCACTTAACAAAAACGACTAACCAACCATCCATTCTTTATGCTTGTAAAAGCACTTTTATAATATCATTATTAAACTAAGGTAGCTTTTTATTTTAATTAGATACTTCTTAATATCCAATGTGTGATACTTGGATAATAGGAAATAATGGATATGCAGGTGGTGAAATGGTTAATGACTCAGGGAGGAAAAAATTGGTGAGCTGAGTTCAATTTCTGTTGGAGTTTGCTGCATTCACTGCCACACAAATACTTTTAGGAAAGGTATGAATCCATCTTTTTTCCCTTCAACTATGGGTAAATTAGCTGATTGACTCTTATCTTGAGGTGGCAACCAGTCTAGGAGAAGGAAAACTAAATTCAAAACCTGCCTGAAGAGATGGGCACCATCAGGCTATCTTGCCCTAAACACACCACTACTGCTATGATTTCAATATGTATATTTGCCCCTATAAACCCTAATGTGTTACAGTATTCATAATGTTAGATAAATTAAAAAGTGTTAGCTTGTTTAAATGTTTACTTTGCTTAGGTACAGTTTTGTAACTCTATCAAATCTCTTCTGTAGGAAGCAGACTATTTACCTGATCTCATTCTGGGGAACAGCTTTAACAAAATACACCTTAACTGAGTTTTCTTTGAATGACCAGAAAGTAAACATGAGTATAACTGTAATATTTCATGCTTTCCTGCCAGTTGAATAACTGTTTTTTTGTATCTAATTCAAAGTCACTGGTTTTTATTTTTATTATTGTATCTGATCTTAAAGATAATTTGGTCTGCTGCAGCCTTCATAAAGATGAGAAACTGCTGTGGACAGAGTTGTATTCCATTTGCAGCACACCTCAGCTGCATTAACAAATGGAAAAACCCCAAAAAGTACAGTGGGCTCTAAATGCATGAAAATCAGTTACTCCTTTCACTTTAAAGGAAGATGACTAAATAAAAATGTATACTTTTTTAGTCATCTCTTTATACAAGCCCGTAGCAACCAGGGTTGTGGTGCCTTGGCTCTCTCAAAAATTTTACCAATAGTAGTATTTTTTACAGGGTTTTATTTTAACAAAATACAATAAAGAAAGAAATAATAACTATGAAAGTAAGGAAGAATATAAATTTCATAAAACCTCAATGAAAGAATTCTTCTTTAAAGGTGGACAATGCTGGTAATTTCCCTTCATCGTGTGAGTTTTCATTTACATTTGGAATTGTGGTGAATCCAATTAAATAAAATATAAAAATAAAAATGTACAAACAAATAAAAAAGAATTCAAATTAAAACAAATCATTTGATTTACCTTAGAATCCTTCTCTCTTTATCTATCTTTCTCTCTATATATTTCTCTCTCAAATAAAAAGTGGCAGAAGACAAAAAAAACTAACCCCGGCCGAAAAAACACTGGATAAATAATTTGTGACAAATATTTGTCACTAACCATGTTGACTGCCTTTGATATCTTATGGCTAAATTCTAAAAAATTTTTCCCTTTCCCCAACATTTGTCTCTGATACAGCCCTGTTAATAATAATAATAATAATACAACTGAATGGCACCTCTCAAAATAAATATTAAAAAAAAAATTACTAGAATTTAACATATTTTTAAGGGTAGCAGAATTTTGTCAAAAAGTGTTCAATGAACTCCATCAAAAATAGTCTGTAAAATAGTAAATATTTAAAGAGTTGTCTCATTGGCCATCTCCAGAGTTTTGTGTAACTTTACTCATCACATTCAGATTGTGTAGTATAAATATGATATCTGGTAATAATTCAATAGATTATCAAACCCTCTGACTCTTATGAACATTGTTGTATGAAATACTGGAGTTGGCCAATGAGATGAGACCTTTGTATATTTGCTAATTAATTTATAGGCATATATATATATATATATATATATATGTGTGTGTGTATATATATATATATATATATATATATATATATATATATATATATGTAAGCGAATGGTGAAAAGTTCTCAGTTTGACCCACTTTGCAAAATATGACAAGATTTTTTTTTCTTTTTGTAAGAACTTCATGGTTAGACTGAGAATTGTTCATAGTTAACTTGTGTATGTGATATATAAAGTTAGCAGCATACTGCTCCTCTCAATGATAACCTTACCTGCAGGCATGGGGTGACATATGTGTGTCCATAAAAATTGAGCACCACTTTATATTACTGAGCCCTCCTTTGTCGTCCATGACAAGAAGATAGTACATCATATATATATATATATATATATTTGTTCCTCACTGTTTGATGTAGCTATAAGTTACATGCACATAGAAATAATCAGGCATAAATTAAAAACTGACCATTGTAATCCATCAATATATATATATATATATATATATATATATATATATATAATTACACACATAACTGTTTACAGTATGACTCCGTTTCATAGCTTTGCTAATCATCATGTACAAAGGTTACAAACTGTTCAATACATTTTTTGTTTTTAAATTTCTGGGTCTCATGGGAGCAGTATATAGCATCACATAATAATTTAATATTAAACAAATATTTAAATAACTTCAATAGTAATGATAGTGCTGACAAAAATTGTAATTGCTGAAAATATTGTGCCTGCCCACTTAATTCTAAATGCACGAATAAAGGCATTATTTATAAAGCTATCATTAAACATAATGGTGATACTAAATTTTATTTTGGTTCCATTGCTAACCATTTGAAAACCTGGTATTAACATCATAAAATTACTCTTACCAATAAGCAATACTCAAATACCACAGCACTCTGTAAATTTTTCTGGGAAATTAAGAGAGATAACTACACACCTGTATTAAATTGGGACTTCATTACTATAACAAAACTTTTTACCCTCAACTAGGATAAATGTACTCTGTGCCTATTAAAATAAAAATGAACTATTCGCAAACACATCGATAATCATAATCTGCTGAACAAGTGCAATGAGCTTATGATTGCTTGCAGCCATAGAAGGAAATCTCTTCTCAAATATTTTGATGCTGGCTAGAGCAATTATCCTATTATCTCTGCAATGACCTGCCTCTTCTATTTTTTCTATAGCGAGTTACCTCCCTTACACCATCCTAGCGTTTAATGTTTTTTTTTTTCATTTTATTATTTTTTATTATCGTTTATTTTTTTCCTTTCTTGACCCTATATTCTTTTTTTCCTACCCAGGCTTTTTATTTGCTAACTATCAATCTTTTTAGTTTGTATTGCAATAATCTTATCTGTTGAATCAATACACATTATTGGATAAATATCCGTATTAAACTTACTATTAATTAATAACTTTATTTTTCGATATCTACAACCAACGCACTATTTTTTGAATTTATACCCCAGTACTATATTATATTATAATCTTGAGCTTGAATACACGCACAATGTAGTGCTTCTCCCATGAGACCCAGAAATTAAAAAAGAAAGCAACCATATTGAACAGGTCATAACTTTTTGTAACTGATAATTGGCAAAGCTATGAAGTTCTGAGTTGTGCTGTAAACGTAGGTATATGTGTAATTATTAATATATGCTTTATAGATCTGTTTTACTACATTGAGCATGGTTTCGTCAACACCAGTGATTCAATAGGTTTTTGCTCACCTGTATGTGTACTTAATTGTTCACATATATAGTTGATCATAGCTCTTTATTTAAATCATTTATATATATATATATATATATATATATATATATATATATATGTGTGACAACAACCTATCTTTTAAACATCATTTGTTAAATATGATGGACAGGGAAAAGTTTTATTTAGTTTTTCCAACATTCTTGCATTTTTCCGTTTGGTGAGAGTTAGTGAGTGAGTAGAAAAACTGTACTGTCCGTAGTGTCCATTGTTCGAAGCACTTTCAGACACTTCTTTAGCCATTTTCAACATGCAAAGGCTCAGAATAAATGTTCTTGCTAGTATTTAAAACCCACACAATACATTTCACACAGTCAAAACAATAATGATAATAAATAAAACTCTCTTGAAAATGGCTAAGGAAATGCCCAAAAACACTTAGGACAATGGACAGTTTTTGTACTTACTCACTGCCACCAAACAGAAAAATGTAAGAATGCTGGAAAAAGTAAATA